TCTGCAGACAGACACTGCAGTTGTAAAGTCAAACAGGCTCAGAATAGGCTCAATTACATGAAGTCATTGAAAGAACAAATTATAAACTACTCTACCTGAGGTCTATCATGTAGTAAGCATCCTGACAACTGTTAACTTACTAATTCACCTTCCCAAACTTTTTTACATGCACAGCCTACAGCCTCAGATGACTCTGCCAAACCTAATAGATCCAGAAGCTCATACAATTTTAATTATTTACTGTAAAAAAGTGATCTACAGTCAAACAGTGTTTTAAATGTGTTCCACAGAAAGAAGCGACACAATCAACTTATAACTAAACCATCTCAGTAGATGATTAGTCCAATCAACTGATTTTAGTAGGATTGAGTAAAGTATCAATTTGTCAGCAACTATTTTAGAGATGTGATGGAAAGCAATCTATTAAAAAAAAAAATTCCTCCCAAGAATCTCAAACATTTACTTTTATACTCCAAAATCCTGTGCAAGTTTTTGCTAGCTGCCATACTGAGTAAAAGTAAAGAAGTTAGATCTACTAAGGAAAGATTAAAAGATGTTCTAGCCTGCAACACCCATCATAACAGATTAGAGTATTTAGTTAAAACTTGTTTCTGTCAGATACGCAATGTTCATTTCCTCCCTTCATGGTTTTACTGGCAACATCTGCAAACAGCAGTAAGTAGCTGCATATGAACTCTGAAAACATTAATCACCAGGAGAAAGGTACTTTTAGGTTTCTTGGGTAATGCTTAGTTGCAGATGATGCAATTTGTAATCTACTGCTTCAGGCACCTATAAAGGATAAATTTAATGTTAAAAGATGGATGGACTATTTTATTTTGACTGCAGAAAACAGCAATGTTTAGGATAAGCACTCAGGTTTGTGCAGCTTTTATTTAGTTTTTAGTTTATTCCTGTCAGAAAAAAACTCATGCTAAACCAGTGAAATGTATTATTGTGACAGGATAATACGTTTTATGGATAGTAGAACAGCTACAAATTTAACTTGACTTTAAAATTGTTCCCATAATTTTCTGAAAATCATACATGTCAGTAACAGTCTTAACTTAGTAACTAAAAATTGGATACAAAGCTGTCTGGAAAACAATTTTCCAAGAGTACTCAGAGGTCCCCAATCAAATAGGAATAACATGTACTTCAAGGTTCAAGAATTAGTAGTTTCATCCATACTAGCTGAGGTTTTAGAGAAGCAATTCCAAGCTACAAAGGGATTGACAGCATTTTGGAGGACAAATTATAATTCAAGATTATTTTGATAAGTGGAAGAAGTGGTTTGAAAATAGGATGCAGTTATATAAGTATAGCTGCAAAGCAGAAACCTACAACTGTACAATTACAAGATGGGAACAACTGAGTAGGCAGCAGTTCTGCAGAGAAAGATACAGAGCTACAGTGAATCACAGACTGAATGAGTCAACAATTCTAGGCTGATGCAAAAATGACAAACATCGTATTCTAGTGATTAAATGAGAGTATTACAGGTTGGAAAGATGAAGCAATTTTTCAAATCTAGCGTGTACCGGTAAGGGTTTAGCTGGACCACTAGATCTAAATTTAAGCACAGAATTCATGCAAAACTGACCACAGAAAAAATACAGGGAAAAAACAAAACACAAAACCCAGTCCAAAACAGCTTGACTTACAAAAAGTAAGTTGAAAAAAAGTCTGTTTTGTCTAAACAGCAGAACAGATAGGAGACACTGTTTTTATTATGCGGAAGGTGTTATAAAGAGGTAAGGCACCCACCTTTCTCACATCCACCAGGAATAGGTTAAGTAATGGGTTTACAGTATAGCAAAAGACATCAAGATTATTATGCTGTTCTAACATCTAGAGATAAATAAGGATTCAAATTGACTAGCAGACATACCATGGAATGTCTATAATTACAGATTTTCAAAAAACAGGCGAAACAAACATCTGTCAGGAACGATGTATATTTAGCTCAGCCTGTCTTTAGGATGGTGGATGGAAAACAAATTTTCTAGCCACATTTTCTATGACTATAGTAGAGTGAGAAGACAAAAACTTCACACTCAAAATTAATGAAATCCACTTCTGTTTAGAAATAAAAAGGACACAGAGTAACACAACATCAAGACCTTTTTTACATTATTTCTATGAAGTAGGTCCTGTTATACTTTTAAGTCAAAGCATATGCTATCAACACAGCTCAACCACCTCTTTGGAAAGCAGTTTTCTATACTGAAATGGTTAACTCCCAGCATTGGGAGTTAATGCTGAAATTTAGTGCTTGCAGATTTAATTTCTAAGGTCAAACATTTCAACTTCCATACTTCACACTTTTTGTTACTTTTTCCTCCTTTCAGTTCCTGTAAGTTGTGTCACTTAAATCATTTGGTTCTTACAAAACATTTAACCTGACCCATCCTAACACCGATACATTTTCTTGCAGCAAAACACCAAAGCACAAAATCCTACACTCCCCTCAACACTTAAATATGAACACTGTCTTCAATTACTACTTCTTAAAAAATTCTTCATACAAGATGCCTTCAACATGATTTGCCTGTGTTGTGGGCCAGACTCTATTCTTGCAGCTTCACTGAGGACAACAGAAATATATAACTGGTGTCTCAGTTTTTGGATGCAGATATCAGTCATCAAACACCAAAAGTCACTACTAAATGTTAATGAACAGTACCTATTTCAAAGTCTTTTTTCAAGAGAGGATTCTCTACACAACACCTAGCCAAGCTGTATCCACGATTTTGATTGTACTAAAATATGCTTTTAAGAATGTGAAATATGTCCATTGAAAGATGTGCCCATTTGATATATAAAGATTTAGATTTCTTCAATGGATACATGATTGCAACAACTTACTTTTCATTAAACAAAATGAATGGCATTAATTTATTTAAGAGAGGGTGGGGAAAAACCCTTCACTTCCCCTGTCCGCTTAAGGAATTGCACCATTTCAGGGATAAAAAAAAAAAGATATAAAATGTGGCATCCATAAGAACACTAATCATCCTTTGTATTTCCTTTGTACAAATGTATACAGCAATAGGTAGAAGACATGACTGAGGTTGTGATCTACTCCAAAGAATTGAAATAATTTAACAAACCCAAACTTCCTTCCTTCTTGGAAAAGATGAGGGTCAGTTCTTCTGTTTCACTCTAAGTATAAAGGAAGCATTTGTATTGTAGATATGCAAGTCCTGTATAATTTTTTTTCCATACTTCAGCCACCAACTCTTCTTTGAGGCTACCAGTGATATTAACCTAGTGGAAGAACTGTGAGATCAGAAACGCTACAATTCTGTATGTTTACTTCTCTTCCTACTATTACATTATGGCAGTATTTAGAGGGCAGATAGGGCTATTGTCTCCTCTAACCACGTTTCATTTGTGCATCTCGGAACAACCACAGTAATGAAGAGAAAGAGTAAAGGAATTTGTTTTGGATCACAATTTTTACAGAAACTAGCAGAAAAGTACCCTGCAAGTCGCTTTACACATCCAATAGCAACTCAACCAATATAAACCAAGACATTTCTACCACAGGGTGAGAATTTGTCAAACTCCAGTAGAAAAAGGTTTTCAGGTTAGAATGCTGGGTTATATAATTGCACAAGCACTGTACACCCAGAATACCAGGAGCAGAGCCTACAGAACCACACTACCTAAAAAGACGATGATCTCCGAAAATGTTGAATCAAGTACTTCCAAGAATTTCACTACTACTATTTTACCTTGCATGTCTGCATAACTAGTAAAGCCATACATAAAAATACTATATACTTGCCCAGATTTCACAAAGGAGAGTAAGCAGAGTTTATTGACAAATCTTTATATGGAAACAGTATTTTGATTTTGGGGTTTTTTTTTCCCTTTCTCAAGTGATGAACATGCACTTTATTTCAGTAGATACTGACCTTACTGAAATTTCACTAGATTCAACCACTTCAAAAGTGGCTTTTTGGAAGCACTACATCAAATATCATCAGTTCCCAGGGGCATCATAAAGGTACACCTTTAACTCCGTTCAAATACATAACAATGCTCTGGCCCTAAATGCAAAAGGTGAAAAATTCCAGGAGGAACCTTTTCCTGTTATTCCACAAAGACCACGAGTAAAAATGTTGACTATTAATATCCAACTCAATTATCAAAGAAAAAAAATCTATTTTTAATCCACAGAAAATTAAGCCATTAATATTCTAAAGCTATATTAAAAAAACCAAACCAAACCAAACAACGGCTTGGTAAATTTTTAAAACGCTTCCCTCGGAAGACCTCTGTAAGTCTGGTATTCCTCAAAGGCCCCACAATATTTCAGGCATAGAATAATAGGTCTGGTACTCCTCAAGGCCCAGGTTTTCCAAGACAGAGCAGTAATGCCTTTCAGAGGCATTACAATCAATGCCATTTACGCTTACAGACAAGGAGAGCCTTCTATATTGTGCAGGCCAAAACCTGGCATTAAACGCTCTTTTTCCTGAAACCCTTCTTACTGCTTAACCGCTCAAATGGCTACAGGCTACTGTGTCACACATGTCAAAACTAACAGCGCACATCCATTTCTATCCCCAGCCCCCAATTCAGCTCTTAAACAATGTTAGGAAAATTTTCGAGACAACAGATAAACATAGATTGCTAGTGGTTTTTCGCATTCTATAAGTGTGACTTGAGGAATAAATAAAACGCCATTTACAGAGTTCGATTCCTCAAATAAAATTGTATTAGCTCCACTACACAAAAATTACTCGCTAATGGAAACAGTAGTACTACTCCAAAAAGATTACAGGTAATAAAAGAAAAACAAAAGAAAACCAAGAAACCCCACAAGGTGTAAGGGAACCTGAAGATGAGGGAACAGACTAAAACCATTTCCTACGCACCACCTACCCCCCCCTTCCCAGCTCTTTAGGGAAGGGCTCGCACGTCCTCAGGAGCGAAGCAACCAAGCAGGAACCAGCATCAAAGAAAGGGAAGAAGAAGACGCCACCTACCTGTCCCAAAGGCCTTGGCCACCAGCCAGGCGAGATTACAGGCGATTTTCGCTCGGGAGAAGTCATAATGGTCAAAGGGTTTGATGGCAGGAACAATGAAAGTCTTCCTCATCTCCTTGGCGTCTGCAGCATCCCCCATCTTCTCACAGGACGCCTGGCAATTCAGAACTTACATGGCTCTTCCTCCTCCTCCCGCGGCCGGGAGAGACGTCTGTAAATACGCCAACAGCAGCTGAGGGCAGCGCTGAACCCAGCTGTCCGTAAAGGGCTAACGCCGCCTCCCGCCTTCCTCTTCACAGGAATGTGGCAGAGCCCGAGTGTCCTCTTCTTCCTCCTCCTCCTCGCTCTTTGTCTCAATTCTCACGCCGCCGCCGCCCCCCACCCTCCGAAAAACGGTCCCCAGCGGCCCCGGCTCCCCCTTCCCCTGGGAGACCCTCCGGCCAGGGCTGGGCGCCCCAGGCCGCCGCGGCCGCCAGCCCCCCGGCTCGGGGCGGGAGCCGCCGGCAAGGCCCCCGTAGCCGCAGCGGGCCGGGACGCGGCCCTTCCCGGCCCCGGCGGAGGCGCCGAGATGTCAAAACGCCGGGGACCAGCCCCAAAACGCTGCGCAGCCCGCCCCGCCTCAGCGGCGGCCTGCAACGGGCCGGGAGCCCCGCCACTGCCCCGCGCCCGGACCCGGGCACTGCCCCAGCCACCCCCCAGCAAGGCGCCACTGCTCCCGGCTCCCCTCAGCAGCTGCCGCTGCGGTTTTTCCACCCGCGGCTGCCGCACTGGATGGGCGAAACGCGGAGGCGCATGCGCTTGCGCCACGGCCACCGCCTCCCCGGTCGGGCGGGGCGGGGAGCGCGAGAGGGAGGGGCGGGGTGGGCCGGGCCGCCCTCCGCCGCCC